TTTTTACTGATTTTAAACATTTACAGAAACTCACTGAAAAAGGGCTCTTCTATGGATGAAACTCAAAATACCTTATCTTAATATTTAGAACAATTATTCTTATGCAATGTTAAGAAATAGTTGGTTCATGTTTGACATGAAGATATTTTTCAATCTCTAGTTTTCTGGTTATTTCGAAAAAACTGATGATCAACATGTCTGAGGTTTGTAACTCTTTTTCACACCATTTCAAAACTTTGACTAATTTCTGGGATTTTATTCTTATGTGACCTTTTAGGTTTTACAGAGTCTCAGGATATGAAGCATGTAGAAATACTCTTCACAGCCTCTCCTAACAGTATGTAGTGTGAGCGAGCATCAGCATCAAAACAAGCTGATTTGATTCTATTATTTGCTATTTGAGTGACACTTACTAGCTTGTTAGCTTGTTTTACAAGGTGGAGATAACGGTGCGTTATTAATATCTACAACCGTGTTGAAACGTTGTCCTTTGACGTCTGTCGACACCGGGGGAAAACTTTATTCGACTCACCGCAATCCGTTTATGGCGAGCCTTTGAATGTTGTTATTTGAGTCAACAGATCGTCAATACAAAGCAGCACACTTCAGTCTGTCCACCTTCAATACAAAGCAGCTCATGTTGTTCTGTTTACAAGGGGGGAAACTGAAATTCACAGAGCAGGGAATGAAATATTTAACGGATGCAGTGTGGACAGCAAGCATGCGATCATGTGTGATGCAATGCGATATCAAACGCTCGCGTGCTGTTGGGACACGGTGTAGAAAACTGACTTTACATTTAAGACAAAAATGAGAATTTAGGCTCAGACAGATTTGATTTATTGTCCAGGATGACATTGTTTATTTCCTTTCTTCCTTTCTGGTCTCTCCTCACCATTGAGTCAGTTTGACTTTACCCAGACTTCTGATTATTTTCTGTCCTTTGATTAAGATAAACCAAGTGCTTTCTTTTTGTGATGTGATGGTTCCTTCATGGAGCGTAAAAAAACAGACAGCAGAAGGGGCTCTATCGGTTTCATTAAACTTGGTGGCAGACCAAACAGGCTTTGGGCTCCGAGGTTGTGATGAAGCTTTGGCTCGTCTGTCTTTCTATCAGGCTGACCTGCCACACGCTCAGATTAACTCACCCCGGGGTAATCCCTGCCGCTGATTTATGGCAATCTCGTGTTGACTGTGCAGACGTGAGCTTTCTTTAGCATCTGGTCCCCCCCCCTCACTCTCACTCTCTACCTCCACCTCCTGATAGACAAAGAAAGAGAAGTCCATCCTATGTGCACCTCATGGAATAATGACTTATTTTTTTAATGCACATACTTGAGTTTATACAAGGGATTTTCTTTGTGACAATCAGTTTTGTTCGGCAAAATTAATCTCCTCTCGCCTTTTTACGCTCTGCAAAATCAAAGAGACAACAGGAATCTGTTTGCTGTGTGGGGTAAACTCTGAACATGGCTTAACAGTAACCAAAGAATGAGCGCGTGGAGAAATATCAACATATAGTGACAGCAGAGTCTGTCTTTTGTCCAATTTATAACCAATATAATTTAACTGTACGATTGAGTGTTGCTTTCTCAGTGCACAGAGGATAAAGACCTGAGTATGCCCCCTCAATTTGTCCACATTAGTTTAAAAGAATTAGCCATGTGAGGCCACATATCCAGAGACAATGATAATGATGTGAAATTCATGAGCCCTGTTTATCAGATGGATTAACACATGTTATAATGGTTTTACCAACACGCACTGGATTAGAAGTTTTGGACGTGGCTCTTATGAATGACAGCTACCCGTGCTCATTGTCACACATGATGTGTTTGTGGGTGGAGTTAAAAATAATATTTGAGTGTGACAGAGACAGGGGGAGGAGGGCGGTCTACTGTGGCAGCTGTGGAGGAGATAATCCCTCGCCTGGACCTGAGCCTCTCAAATGGAAAACTCCTACAACTATTGTGGCTCAATCAGATTAAAAAGACAAAAAAAAAATCTTCACACAGAGAGAGAGGGAGAGAAAACAGAGACAGAGAGAGAGGGAAAGCACAATGTTGGCCCTGCTTTGAACACACACACAGAGCCCAGTCAGTCACAATGCTGTGGTTGTCTCTTCTCTGTATGGTTTAAAAAACTGCAAGCCAAGCGAATATTTTATTGTCATTGTCTGCTTCTCTTTCAGTTTTCAGCCACCGCACAGAACTGTTAGTATTTAGGTCAGATGTCACTTAAAGAGCTTGTAGAAAAGACAACTTTTTTCACTTTTTTATATGGTGTAGATTTTTACTAGAGATGCACCAATTGGGAAAACCAGGGCTGATATCAATCTTTGTAAATAACAATTTTGCCAAATCCGATACTGATGTTTGTTTCATTATTTCTGTTGGTGTAAGACTCCCACAATGCAACATTTTCTTTCATGTTTGACCATAAATACAGGTCGGGTGATTTCATTTGCCCAATAAAAAACCTCGTCTCTGAATAAGTAGTTAGGTTTATTAGATTTCAGCGTTAAATTGATTTTGCTCAACAAATAAACCTCGGCTCATGCTACATTATTTGCTGATGTGCAGATGTCTGTCAAGAGGGTCGATATCGGCCTAAACCGATGATAAACTGGTGCATTCCTAATTTTTGCACATAATTCTCCATTTAAAAAACACACTTTTTAATGATAAATATACAGGATTGAGATTTGTGTCTTGCCGACACAGTTTGTTGCAGACAACCGGCAATTGCATATGGATAAACCACCCGAGCATGGTCTGGGAAACACTGTGCTGAAAACTGTTCTCTACATTTTCTCACTGTTGTATCTCTACACTGGAGCCGCCAAATATCAACAATCTAGTTTAACTACTTTTAGTATTTGTGCATGATTATTCCAGCTGCACAGAGCTGCACTAACATGGCTATGGACTCTTAGTTTCATCATCAGTCATAAGCAAAAAGCAACAAGCTGATGCTGCTGGTGTAAATGTAAGTTCATAACCTCATGTGGGCACTCATCTGGGTCAGTGTGCCTTTGTAGGTCACGGCTCTTAAAGGTCGGTTTGGTGTGTCAACACGCCGTCCCTTTTGTTTGTGTCTTGGCTCAGAAAAACGCCACATTGCCTGGCATAAACACAGTCCCCCTGTCTGCCCACAATATCTGCAAGTCCACTTTGTTACACATGCACACATCTCAACAGCTACTCCCCCACTCTTGATTATAACCTACTCACGTTCTCAGTCCAAGGCCACTCCCTGATCCTGTAATGCTGGTCTTGTGCGGGGTTAGCAGCTGGGGAAGGTCAGTGACAGCTGGCATTCTGCAGCCTCACTGGAGCAAGTAGACCCAGGCCACTTACACTACATGGGGGCCAATTTGACAGCTGTGATGGGTTGGGTCTGTGGGAAATGATGCATTAAATGGTGCGGAATAGGAGTTGTGATCAAGAAAATCGAGGGAAGAAGAGAAACATCTGAATATAATATGCATGGAGGTGTTTGAACAGAGTTTTTGTCTGATGGTATCTCCCCAGTGATGCTCCATTAAAGATTGCCTGCCCGCCTCAGTCACACAAAAAAAGATCTATGAATTATTCAGATGAGCAGTGATCAAAGACAGTAAAATAAATTGCCTTTAGCAGAGTTGACTCATGTAAAAATTCAGAGTATAACTGAGTCATTCTTCAGCACAGGATTCTGCATCAGAGAGGCGAGACTAATGCTCGTCCCCCTTGCTTTACTTTAAGCTCCTCCAAGAAGTGACGGCTTGTTCTCTGAAACTTTTGTTCAATCCTTCCCCCTCTGAGACTCTCAAAGAAGCTTTGACTTCTTTATGCAACATCATCACTCAAATAGAGATGACATAACTAACGGCTGTTGCTCAGTTTTTTTCTCTGAAATACTCGTGAAGATGGTGAAACGTGGAAGTGCGACAGAATTTCACATACATTCTATAAGAAGGGATATCATGCAACGCCCTTCCTCGTTCATTTTCAAATAATCTGCAAGTATTAAGTGACAGGGCGTTCACTGGAGAGGGCTATTTTTAAATTCAACATTTAAATGAATAATGAATGGAACAACAGTCTTGAGCATCTTTATTTCAGGATGAAGCAGCAGCTGCAGCACGAAGGTGAATTTCTCACTGCAGGATCTGCCTCTGTCAAGCACTAAGGCACAGTGTCCAGCTAGCGATTTTTCCGGGCAGAAAAGCGCTCGCTGTGCGCTTGGGAATGTTTTGCAACATAACGCTAGGTGGACATGGGGCCTGAGGTTGCCAAAATGTTTCTTACATTCTCACATCAGCTCACTTTGACGTTCTGCAGAATAAATACGAGGAGGCTGGAGGAGAAACTCCGGGTGCAGTGGCTGTCTACATTCACACATGCAGCTCCTCCTGGAACTATCAGGAGTTTTTCAGGGGTTTTCTGCAAGTGTGAAAGCCCTATTTAGGTGTTTGAGACTGATATTTTTGTCGGCGTGGTTTTGACACATGTATCCTTAAGGCAGGATTTGACTAGAATTGGGTCAAAGTTTGTAATTCTGGTATCTTTACAACCCTGATGAGCACAAACGTAGACAAAGTGGCTCATAAATACTGAGTCTGACACAGATTGTTGCAGTGCAGGTGTGTGTGGCCGGTGGTGCATCACGCTTTGTGGTCCATGAGTAACCTCACAGCTGTCTGTGTTTGACCTGCATCTTTGTGTTGTACACCTCAATGGCACAAACACATTATGTCCCTTTTTTTTTTTTTTACTGATCAGATTCTTTCATTCAAAGCTATTTTAAAATATGTCTGCCTGCAGCTCTCCTTCTGCTGTGTCAAAATATTTACTGAGCAGTTATCTAACATGCAGCTCACGCGCCTTCTTCAGTCACAGGAAATTAAAGGAAACGGCTTAAAGCTAAATTTAGGAGGTTGCTTTCCATTGTTGATATTTTAAGTGGCACCAACCTAAACACCCTCTCTCTTCTTTCTCCCCCCCTCTCAACAACAGGTATTAAATGAAGAGTGTGATCAGAACTGGTACAAGGCAGAGCTAAACGGGAAAGACGGCTTCATCCCCAAGAATTACATAGAGATGAAAGCTCATCCGTAAGTATTTCACATCCAAGAGTTTCTTTTCTGATGTTTTTTTTAAATAGCATGTTTGTACACTTTATGCTGGTGTTTCTCAAATGAAGTACGCGTACCCCATAGAGAAGCTGCAGGCGTACATGAGATATGATGAAGTGGTGTTGTTGTCATGACCACACTAACTGAGACCAAGACATGACCGAGACCAGAGTGCTCCGAGACTGAGACATTTAGGGATCGAGACAGAGACAAGACCAAGTCCCAAAGGCAGGGCGAGACTGAGACAAGACCAAGACCATGAATATCATGAAAAAGTGGTCTCAAGACCGGTCTGAGTACTACAACACTACTAACAAGTTTGACTAAAACATGTGAATCTAGGATCAATTAATCCTAGATTCACATGTATGAACTAAATAAGAAGAAAGAGTAACATGAGGATTATGAGAGGGAACACAGTCGATGCTATTGTTGTAGTCGTGTCTTAAAAATCTTCAGCTGTGTCAGTTTTTTTTAATTTCAGATGGTTAATGTGTTCCTCGGGTGCGTTCCTCTTACTGAGGAGGATGACTGTCCTCCATTTAACAGTTAAATGGTTGTTCCCTCCACAGGCTTTGTGTTTCTGTATTGGCAGAAATAAGCTGCCACGTGAAGCCACCACATTTTTCAGCTACATGTTGTTGTAAAATAAATAAGATACTGTATCATACCTTTTATTTAAAGGTATCTTTATAGGCATCAATTTTAACCAAATACAGTGGGTACGGAAAGTATTCAGACCCCTTTACATTTTTCACTCTTTGCTAAAATCAAAAAAGTTCATTTTATTTCTCATTAATGTACACTCAGCACCCCATCTTGACAGAAAAAAACAGAAATGTAGAAATTTTTGCAAATTTATTAAAAAAGAAAAACTGAAATATCACATGGTCATAAGTATTCAGACCCTTTGCTGTGACACTCATATTTAACTCACATGCTGTCCATTTCTTCTGATCCTCCTTAAGATGGTTCTGCTCCTTCATTGGAGTCCAGCTGTGTTTAATTAAACTGATTGGACTTGATTAGGAAAGGCACACACCTGTCTATATAAGACCTTACAGCTCACAGTGCATGTCAGAGCAAATGAGAATCATGAGGTCGAAGGAACTGCCCAAGGAGCTCAGAGACAGAATTGTGGCAAGGCACAGATCTGGCCAAGGTTACAAAAGAATTTCTGCAGCACTCAAGGTTCCTAAGAGCACAGTGGCCTCCATAATCCTTAAATGGAAGAAGTTTGGGACGACCAGAACTCTTCCTAGACCTGGCCGTCCAGCCAAACTGAGCGATCGTGGGAGAAGAGCCTTGGTGAGAGAGGTAAAGAAGAACCCAAAGATCACTGTGGCTGAGCTCCAGAGATGCAGTAGGGAGATGGGAGAAAGTTCCACAAAGTCAACTATCACTGCAGCCCTCCACCAGTCTGGGCTTTATGGCAGAGTGGCCCGACGGAAGCCTCTCCTCAGTGCAAGACATATGAAAGCCTGCATAGAGTTTACCAAAAAACACATGAAGGACTCCCAGACTATGAGACAGAAGATCCTCTGGTCTGATGAGACCAAGATTGAACTTTTTGGCTTTCATTCTAAGCGGTATGTGTGGAGAAAACCAGGCACTGCTCATCACCTGCCCAATACAATCCCAACAGTGAAACATGGTGGTGGCAGCATCATGCTATGGGGGTGTTTTTCAGCTGCAGGGACAGGACGACTGGTTGCAATTGAAGGAAAGATGAATGCGGCCAAGTACAGAGATATCGTGGAAGAAAACCTCTTCCAGAGTGCTCAGGACCTCAGACTGGGCCGAAGGTTCACCTTCCAACAAGACAATGACCCTAAGCACACAGCTAAAATAACAAAGGAGTGGCTTCGGAACAACTCTGTGACCATTCTTGACTGGCCCAGCCAGAGCCCTGACCTAAACCCAATTGAGCATCTCTGGAGAGACCTGAAAATGGCTGTCCACCAATGTTCATCATCCAACCTAACAGAACTGGAGAGGATCTGCAAGGAAGAATGGCAGAGGATCCCCAAATCCAGGTGTGAAAAACTTGTTGCATCATTCCCAAGAAGACTCATGGCTGTACTAGCTCAAAAGGGTGCTTCTACTCAATACTGAGCAAAGGGTCTGAATACTTAGGACCATGTGATATTTCAGTTTTTCTTTGTTAATAAATTAGCAAACATTTCTACATTTCTGTTTTTTTCTGTGAAGATGGGGTGCTGAGTGTACATTAATGAGAAATAAAATGAACTTTATTGATTTTAGCAAATGGCTGCAATGAAACAAAGAGTGAAAAATGTAAAGGTGTCTGAATACTTTCCGTACCCACTGTATATGCAAAATGGGGGCTGCACAGTGCTGCAGTGGTTAGCTCTGTTACCTCACAGCGAGGAGGTTCCTGGTTTGAATCCCCGTCTGACAGGAGTCTGCATGTTCTCCTCGTGCATGTGTGGGTTCTCTCCGGGTATTCCAACTTCCTCCCACAGTCCAAAGACATGCTCGTTAGGTTAACTGGTGATTCTTTAATTTCCTGTAGGTGTGAATGTGAGTGTGTCTGGTTGTCTGCTCTGTGATTGGCTTGCGAACAGTCCAGGGTGTAACCCCGCCTCTCGCCCAATGACAGCTCGGATCGGCTCCAGCCTTCCGTGTCACTGAACGGGGTAAAGCGGTGTAGATGTGTAGATGATGGATGGATGGATGGATGGATGCAAATGATCTGTGAGAACTTGACTGATTGGGAGTCTTAAATGAAAACGTTTAAGAACCACAGTGATGTCATACATGACGTTCTGCTGTTACCTGTCGAATAGATCGTGTGTGTGTGTGTGTGTGTGTGTGTGTGTGTGTGTGTGTGTGTGTGTGTGTGTCCGTGTGTCTGTCCACTTCAGAGAACACTTGACAGGATCCTTAGAGGACGTTACCTCTGGACCGGCGCTCAGTGCCAGATTAGCTCTCTTTATTAGCGTCCTCGAGGCCTCTTACACTTAATTGCATATTGACCTTATTGCATTGTTGCAGGGTTGCTATCAGATGTTCCTTTCTGCAGGAGGGAGGTCACTGCATTGGTAGCAACAATCCTCCAGGGTGTAGAGCCTTTTATGGTTATGGGGAATCAATATGAAGCTGTACCTCCTCATGCAGTTCTAACACTGAACCTCTTATTATTATTATTATCTCTCGAATGATTGCCCCCGGGGGGGTTAGCAGTTTTTATATTCCTTCTTGCAAAGTTTAATGTTTTTTTGCCAATCAGACTCAAAGCTGATCATTTGCTCTTACTCACATTGTTCCCTTTTTTCTAGATCCTTGCTTGTGTTGTTCTTACTCTCTGATGTACGTCACTTTGGAGAAAAGAGTCTGATAAGTGAATTGTAGAAGTATATATACAAAGAGACAGGAAGCATATACCATCAACTTTAGCATAGCATCCTCCAAATCCTTATTTTCTTTTTGGATTGTCTGCCTTAAGTACAAAACAAAATGGTGGAATAATCATTATTAAGAAACTCTTGAAATCACTCACTATTCAGTGTTGTCTGAATTCTGAGTGCAAGCACAGGAGTAGAACAGGAGGGACAATTTCCAACATGGCTGCATGTGCTAACTAAGGCTTTCAAGAGTTGCAAATAAACCTCTTCAGTGGTCTGTGTTTGGTTTCATCATGTTCCACTGTCCACTTGAAGTCCTGTTGAACAGCAGCAGAACTTTTTATTCCAGCATCACAAACATGATCAAGTGTGTTGCTCATAACAGCAGCCTTCAATAAAATCCTGTTTGTGCAGAATATGAGACATGATTCTCTGATTCAGAACAATGAAGCTGAAAAATAGTTTCACATCTTTTCACTGTTTGTTGAATATACACGACTGCACGGTTCAGATTAACTGTAAACTTGTTATTGAAGAAACTGCACAGCCCAATAAATCAGCTGTGACTGGACGATGAAGCTGCAGGAGTTTGCTTCTGTCTCCCGTTGTGCTGACAATGAAGTGCCACCTGACAGCACCATGAACACACAGCACACACACACACACACACACACATACAGCAGAGACACACACACACACACACACACACACACACACACACACACACACACATACAGCAGAGACACACACACACACACACATACAGCAGAGACACACACACACACACACACACACACACACACACATACAGCAGAGACACACACACACACACACACACACACACACACACATACAGCAGAGACACACACACACACACATACAGCAGAGACACACACACACACACACACACACACACATACAGCAGAGACACACACACACACACACATACAGCACACACATACATACAGCAGAGACACACACACACATACAGCAGAGACACACACACACACATACACACACATACAGCAGAGACACACACACACACACACACACACACACACACATACATACAGCACACACACACACATACAGCAGAGACACACACACACACACATACATACAGCAGAGACACACACACACACACATACATACAGCAGAGACACACACACACACACACACATACAGCAGAGACACACACACATACAGCAGAGACACACACACATACAGCAGACACACACACACACATACATACAGCAGAGACACACACACATACAGCAGACACACACACACACACACACATACAGCAGAGACACACACACACATACATACAGCAGACACACACACACACATACAGCAGAGACACACACATACACACACACACAGCAGAGACACACACATACACACACACACAGCAGAGACACACACATACACACACATACAGCAAAGACACACACACACATACAGCAGAGACACACATAGCAGACATGCACACACAGACACACATAGCAGACATGCACACACACACACACACATAGCAGACATGCACACACACACACACACATAGCAGACATGCACACACAGACACACATAGCAGACATGCACACACACACACATAGCAGACATACACACACACACAAGTCCTTTTTGTTTGTACACATCTTACACCCCACACTGAAGTGTTGTTGTGGTCAACACTTAGCTTTTAGAAATGAGAGTGCAGGTGTGTGTGTGTGTGTGTGTGTGTGTGTGTGTGTGTGTGTGTGTGTGTGTGTGTGTGTGTGTGTGTGTGTGTGTGTGTGTGTGTGTGTGTGTGTGTGTGTGTGTGTGTGTGTGTGTGTGTGTGTGTGTGTGTGTGTGTGTGTGTGTGTGTGTGTGTGTGTGTGTGTGTGTGTGTGTGTGTGTGTGTGTGTGTGTGTGTTAGCCATTTCATTATTGATTTTCACCTTGGTGTAAAGGAGCCAAGATGTCATCTTTTGGCTGACTGTACTTTTTAATTATTTACACACGTAAAGAGCTTTCGCTGGCTTTGTCTCTCCCCCTCTCCATCCATCTTTATCACTCTCACTTATTCCCTCTGTCAGGACTTTCTCAGAGTCATACATTAGTCAAATGTGTTTCTGCTTAAAATACATTAATGCCACTTATCTGTGTTCACATGTTTTTAAATCTCAAATAGATTCGACTGCTTTTTAAGAGGTTGAAAACACAGATGCTCCTGTGTGCCAGTTGAACATTTAACGGTTAGGATGATGATGATATTTTTGTTATGTTTGCTTTGCCTCTATAATTAGTTAATGACTAATCTACTTCCTTGTTTAAAGTTGTCCTCACTTCCTGGTGTGTTGTTTCTCTTGGTGGCGGGAGGGAGATGCTCTCATTGGGTCCAAAAAAGCCCCAAGAGTAAATCTTAATATTTGTATTTCCTGGTTGTCAAAAAGTTTGATACTTGAATACGATCCCGTCTCCTTTTTTTCGAGGACTTTGTGTTACCATGGTATCCAAACAGGTGTGGATCATCTGATTGATCTCAAAGTTTAAGCGTCTGGTGTCCTATAAATGGAGCTCATGTTGTGTCCCCACTGGGCAGCTCGGTGGCTTAGTGGTTAGCACGGTCATCTCACATCTGACTGCAGAGACAGGAGGTGTGATCTTTGCATGCTCACACACAGTCCTCTGCAGCTTCCTCCCTCTGGCCACAGAATCACAGATTAGCTCAACTGAAACTCTAAAAAATGTTCAAAGGTGTGAATAAAAATGTAAAAGTGGAAGGTGTATCCCGCCTCAGCACAAAAAGCTGTTCATAAATGTTGAGCGGTATCAGGCAGCTTTGGGCCTCCATTACATTCACAAAGAAATGGTTTTTAATTAAGATAACATTAAGAGGGGAGCCAGTGGCCTAGTGGTCAGTGTGTGCACCCCATGTACGTAGACTAAAGTCGACCAAGTGGGCGGCTTGGGTTTGAATCCGACCTGTAGCTTCTTTCCCGCATGTCATTCCATAATCTCTCTCTCTACCCCCGATTTCTGACTCTGTCTGCTGTCCTCGCTCTAAAATAAAGGCATATAAAGCGTTTCAGTTATCGACTCATGGGCTTTTATTTTGAAATAACATAAGGACCTTCTGGTAGATCGAATGTTATGAGCCTCAAAGTCTGTGAGTGTGCAGATTCTATGATTCCAGTCAAAGCAGGAAGAAAAAGGTTGCTTTGGGACGTCTGAGTCATTTCTAACTCGTATCTGTTTTCTGCACTCCCTCAGGTGGTTCTTCGGGAAGATTCCTCGGGCCAAAGCGGAGGAGATGCTCAACAAACAGAGGCACGACGGAGCCTTCCTCATCAGAGAGAGCGAGAGTGCACCAGGAGACTTCTCCCTCTCTGTGAAGTAAGCAGCTCCACACCGATGCACCACACAGAACATGATTCACTCTCACACTTGTTGTCTATAAATACAGTCCAACATTATCCTTGTATCAGAGCACGGCTCCCTGTGACTGAGCAGGTTCACAAGTTTCCATACCCGGTGTATCTGAGTCATCAGTGCAGCCTCTTCCTTATTCCTGTGGAGTCTCGCTGCCGCCCTCTGCTGTTCTTCCTGATATCATCGTTTGTGCTCTTTGGACGTCAGCTCTGAGTTCCTGTTTTAGCTGACACGCACAAGACTCATTTCCTCTTATCTGACTCTCCCAAAAGTGTCCACAGTTCACGGCCGTTTAACATGTAAAGTAACTGTGGGTCCTAATAACTCTGTGACCGTCCTGATTTCTCTTAGTCAAATGAATCAGCCGGTAACAGTCTGACAGTCAGTGCAGGCTGACTAACAGTCTGCTATGGACACGCCTCGAGCACTAGATAAGTGGACTTATTGTCTGACTTTCAAGCTTCATTTGCCTACAAAATAACCTTTTTTAAACTCCTCTTTCATCTCCTTTACGAGAGAGAATGAACACAAATACCCTAAACTAAAAAAACAGCACAACATTAAATTAAAGACACAAAAAGCAGCCCTACTAACACTCAAGTCTGTTCATCTGTCAGTTCCTCATTTTGTGTTCAAAGAGTCTTAAAAACATTTTCCAGAACTTGCCACATTTGTTTTTGTAGATCAGCTGATCTTTTTAAGAGAAAAGTAAGAAGTGATTCCCTTCAACTACTGGAAGTTAAACAAGTCGTCAGCTGCTTCCACGAGAAGGCAGTGCAGCGTTTAGCCTCCAGAAAGGCGGGCACGCTGCACCATGGGAAATTTTAAATCATCGGAAAGAGATTAAAACTCTAGTGGCTAAATGAAGGTGCTCGTCCAGTCGATGATATCTGGATGGGTTTTGTTTTGCTTCTACCGAGAGGAAACCTCCATAGTTGAAAAATGAACCTGATGCTGAAGTGTGAAATCCTGCAGTTCCTGGAGTGTCCACTAGAGGCTGGCTGCAGAAGCACAGGAAGTCACATACACACCCGTTCTAAAAAAGCCTGTTGAAGAGGAACCTCTTCACCAATAAATAAATTACTCAGATCCAAAAAAAGATCTTTGAAAACCTTCATACTCTTAATCTTTTGTTGAAGACCCCCTCCTCTCCTCTCCTCTCCCCTCCCCTCCTCTCCTCTCCTCTCTTCTCCTCTCCTCTCCTCTCCTCTCCTTTCCTCTCCTCTCCTCTCCTCTCACCTTTTCTCTCTTTTTGACCTCGTCCAGGTTTGGAAACGACGTCCAGCACTTCAAGGTTCTCCGCGACGGCGCCGGAAAGTATTTCCTGTGGGTGGTGAAGTTTAACTCCCTCAACGAGCTGGTGGACTACCACCGCTCCACCTCGGTCTCTCGCAATCAGCAAATCTTCCTGCGAGACATCGAGCAGGTCCCCCAGGTAAGAACGGACACACAGGATTAATCGTGATGAAGTCGTTATGTCACATGGCTGATTGGTCTCGTGTCATTCAGGCGTCTTCACGGCGCCCTGCTCAACCCGCTAACACGTCTCCTCTGTCTCCTGGTTTCACAGCATCCAACATACGTGCAGGCGCTCTTTGACTTCGACCCGCAGGAGGAAGGGGAGCTGGGTTTCCGACGCGGCGACTTCATCCAAGTTTTGGACAACTCTGACCCCAACTGGTGGAAAGGAGGCTGCCACGGGCAAACGGGCATGTTCCCCCGCAACTACGTCACGCCTGTCAACCGGAACATGTAAACAGACCATTCAAACAACAACAACAACAACAACAACAACAACCACAACAGCAACCACCACCACCACCACCACCATCATCATCCTTCTCGATCTCATCAGCCCCCATCCAACCCTCCAAAAAAAACTAAAAAAAACACACCACCCCTCCACCCTCCTCGCCATCCCGCGATAACAGGAGCAGACAGGAAGAAGGCGAACAACCGAAAGAGGTAAAGCAGGAGTAGTGCTGTCGTAGGCGTCGCTGTGTGGGTGGCAGCTGAAGCAAAAAAAAAAAAATCAACTCTTACCTGCGCTGAGAGCGTTCACCTCGCCAGTGAAACGCCTCGGCGAGGATTGAACCGTCTTTGAGGGAAATCTAAAAATGCAGAGAAACTAAAGAGTAGTGCAACCAAGCGTGAAGATAACCAAATGATTCTACCGCTCCCCACAGCTGCTTCTCTCCTCTCCCTAACTTCTTAACATTCTGCCTTTTCTTTTGTCTTTTTTTGTTTTTCTTTCTTTGCCGCATGTTGTTTTTTAATCACCTAAATGATGAAATGCCTACCGATAAATCCTAACTCTGTTTTAAAGAAAAAAAAAAGTTAAAATATGAAAAAAAAGAAGAAGAAGAAATGGTTAAAAAAAAAAATGTACAAAAAAGACGAGAGAGAGGAAAACATGATGCAATCTACCGTACAGCGAGTTTCCATGAGATCTTTGAACACGTGAGCAGTGTACATCGGCCGCCGGCTGTATAAATAAATCAACTATAGAGAGAATCCATTTTTAAGAATATATATTATATATTTGTATGTGTTTGTCTGTTTTACCTCTCATCACAAATTGTATTTTTTTCCATTTGTAAATTATGTTCAATCTTTCAGTCAGTCTGGATGCGACCTCGTAGCTCTACGACGTTGCTCTTTTTGTTTTTCCTTTCTGAATCGATCTGAGGGCTCTCGGATAAAAAAATGAATAAAAGATAAAAAACAGCGTGAAATTTAAGGGGGTCATCAAAAAAAGTTCCATTGGAAGAGGTTTCTCTTGTGGTTAATGCGAGGAAAAGTAGTTTAGTTCTCCGAGAGGAAGCTAAACGTGTCCCGGAGCTCAAGTTGACCAGCGAGTCGAGAGCGAGAGCCGCCTTCCTTCCAAGCCAATGTATTTATTGCAGCCATTTTCTTCTGGGGCGGTGAATGTAGCCGACTGAGTCCACAGACGTGACCATGAGGGAAGCGAGGTCGGAGAACTGAACTACACAACCATGCAAGGGATTTTTAAACCAACAAGACATGCTGAGACAAACGTCATGTTTCTAAAGAGAGAGAGAGACGTGTGAGGATATGTACGGGTAGTCGACGGCGTGCATATTCACAGAAACCTTTCATTACATGCATGCATACGCAGACGCTCTCCTCCTTGTTATACCTGCACGTAGCAACGAGGCCGAGTTTGGATAATCACTTTGTGTAATCACCGGTGCAGATCTGCAGCTGGCACAGATGAACAGTTCAGAAAAACTGAGAGATTGTCTTTTATGCTAAAAGTCGAGATCAGCGTTAATTATGTAAAGTTGTTTTTTTTTTTTTTTTTTCTCGTCCTTCTGTTTTGTGTCCAATGTGGCGTGAGGTCAAGCACTTTTTTTTGTCAAACATTTTGATTTTCTGGTCCCGTGCGTGCGTGCGTGTTTACCGTGTCTGTGTTTATTTTATTTTCCTTCCAGTTTGTGTTTTCTTGTTCTCTCTGGATAGTGCCTTTCTCTCTGGTGTTTCAGTGTCTCCGACCTGCTACTTTGAGCCCCCCCCTCCTCCCTTTAATGGGGCCCTGCCAGTCCTGCAGTGAGAAACAGTGTACATAATCCAACCTGCCCCCCCTTCCCCCTCAGCGCCCCCCTCCTCCATCACCCCGCCTTCACCTTTATCCTCACCAACATGGAACTCTTCTTATTTAAGTGTCTCTTGCCTCGTCTTACCTAATGATACTGTTTTGTTTTTTGCTCTTTTTTTATTTGCATTTGTTTTTTTGTTTTTTCAATTAATAAAATGCAATTATTAAAAAAATTATTCATTTTGTGTCGTCTGTTTTCGTAGAATCATAACCCCCCCCCCCCCCCTCCCGAGCAGTGATTCTCTCACTCAGTTCATCATGTTCAGCAGATTCTCCACGTGGGGGAAGCTGTTTGAGCGGTGATCCGGGCGCATCAACCGGCACTCTCAAAGTCCAGCTCCTTTGACTTATGTGAGTGCTCCGTCCTTGGTCCTGGCCCGGTTGGAGGAGGTGGACTTCAGCACGCTGCAGCTGTTCATGCATGAGAACAGACCCTGTCCCAGATGTGTGGAGTCTGGTGTGTGGGATGGACTACATGGTCCAGGGTCCGAGGACCGGAGGGTTTCAGGATGAGTGCAAAGAGGGCTTGATAAGTGAGGAGGAGGATTTTCTGTTGGATTCTGGATCTAATTGGGAGCCGGTGCAGGTGGATTTGTGGGCCCGGTCTCTTGTGTTTGTAGTACTTTAAATCAGTCTTGTTCTCGTCTGGGAATCTAAAGGCATTTTTACTCTGCCTTGTCTCGGTCTCAGACTGGGAGGACTAAAGATTTTAAATCAAGACCACCACTGATTGGCTATTGTTTCAGTGATTTTGGTCTTGGTCTTGTCTCGGTCCCTAGATCTAGATGTCTTGGGTGCTCTCTGGTCTTGGTCTCGGTTATTGTGGTCATTTGAGCTGAGGAAGCAGTGAAGAGGAAGTTGATGTTATTTCTTGAAGAGCAGCAGCTCACTGAGATCTTTAACATCACGTTAGCCTCGGTCTGCTGCACCGTCTGCTCCACATTTGGACTTTTTAGCACTCACAGAAACACTTTAGCTCTCCTCAGTAATCTGCTGCCACTCTGCCTCCGTTTCTGTCACCGTCGGCCTTCAAGCGTAACATCAGCGTCACTGTCACTACCCCGGCCCTCTCATCCAGAATATATTCCAGTTTTTAAAAGCATCAGCAGCCCCGGTGCTCATATTCACTATGGAATGATTCTTCCCCGTTGATCACTGGCAGAAAAGGCAGATGTCTAAATAAAATAAAAGGAGGTTTCTGCTGTAGACGATGTAAACAGTTTTAGATAACACGTCTCTAATGATAGTGGAAGTGATTAGATGACCTCTGCCCCGGGGGTTTGGCCTCTCACGCTTGATGAAGCGGTCTGCCATATGCTGCTGCTATGATAGTGGACTAAAGCTGTGACAGAGGTCAGAGCCGCTCTGCGCTTTGTTTCGACATGAGAAGATGATGATGTGAGGATTTGCAGGGGAGGAGTAAACATTGTGATGCAGAGTGGAGAAGATTAGAATCAGTGTGTGAGCAAGCGACCTGTTTGTGGTCGGTTATTTCAGGTCAGACTCATGACTTTGACTTTTATGGCAAGATGCAGCGTGAGCACACTTTGATGATTTGATTGGTCTTAGGGAAATGCATCTGCAGGAGAATGTAGTGCTGGTTTAAAAAATGGCGCTTTTGATTGCTTTGCATCAACTACAAAAAAAACGCTGCTTCCTTGGGCAGGGCAAGAGAGGTGACCAATCAGACTCCAGGGGACAGACAGTGCCGCCCATTATCAAGGTTGCATTTTGGAGGTATTCTGTATGTAGTCACCACTGGACAGTTAAGGCGTTTTCACACATGCACTCCGGACATTTCTAGATTATTTCAGGAGGACTGCCCCCCAAAATCCTCCTGATCTGGTTGTTCACACATGCACTCCAGACATTTCTAAATCCTCCTGATCTGGTTGTTCACACATGCACCTCACAGGGGGAGACTATTCCGGTCTGACAGGAGGGGGGGGCTGAGTCTCCTGAATTAAGACGTGACATAAAAAGAATGAGGAGGAAGTAGCAGATGAAGCAACAGAGTCCTCTAGACGAAATGAGAATATTTGTCTTTGTATCAGTGCTACGTGTAGTTGAAGAGAATCTCAATGTGAACTAGAGTGGAGAAGAACATCCTGGAGAACAGGAAACATCATGCAGCAGTTTGCAGACAGTCTATGGTCATGCACAAATCCCAGGATGTAAAAGTCACCTCCTCCCACTGGCCCCTCCCACTGGCTCCAGGTGAATTCTCCTGTGCCCACCAGCTGTGCATTCAACATTCAAAAAAAACTTTGTGCGAGTGTGAACAAGTCTTTGTTTAGACAGTATGCGCCTCAAACAACCACCAAAAAAAAAAGATGTAAGATGACTACAAAGAGATTCAAAAGGAAGCAAAGAGAACCACAAAGTACTGAGAATAGACAGCAAAGACATAAAGGGGATACAAAAATGACAAATCACAAACAAACATTTTAGAAATCATCACAAATGTTTAAAACCTCTACAAAGACAATTTGTGTCCTCTGTTATCAGATCACTTTGTGTTGACTGCAGTGAGCGTTATCTGGCATGCAAAGGTTCAGACTTTCCGCTCCCTGCTGCTGTCAGGGTTTGAGACCTGATCTTTACCAAGACACCAGACGTTATAATAACATAACACTACATTGTAACGTTGAAAATGTCTCACAAACACCAAGAACACATTTAGAAACAGTCTTCCACCACCTGCCATTATCCCCCTCATGTTCACACTGACCTGACCTCTCTGCACTTTACTGTCAGCCATTTATGTGACACTGCTGCCACCTGCTGGAGGATCACAGCACTGCAGATACAACGTCATCTTACAGAGGAGGATGCAAAACATGACTCCTAATGTGTTGGTAATAATTCATACTAATCATAAATCATTTGTATTTCGCATATGACGATATAAGTAAGGAATATTTAAACGTTATTTGTCCCTAAGGGGGAAATGTGTTGTCACAGCTTTGCACAGTCTTGCTCAGGTATAAGCAGGTAACAGGGGAAGGAATACAAACAATGAAAGAGGCCAGTCAGCTTATTAAGAGCTTTAATACCTGAGGGAACAAAGCTCTTTTTAAGAAACGTGTCCTCTTCCAGGTCAGATTCAGATTCAGAATTGTTAATGTCCCACAAGGAGGACATTTGTTTTGTAGCAGGAGCACACAGAAGACAAAACACACAAGGACAACATCACCATAAAAACATGGGCCAAAACAAATCAGGAGATCCAGGTCAGAGTCCTGGATCTCCAACCTGATGGCAGAAAAGAGAAGAGTTGGGTTGAGTGGGTTAGAGGGGTCCTGGGCTTTGTAGTTGAGATTTAAAAGGTTTTGGGTGAAGGAAGACCAGTGAGTTTTGAAGCAGTATTTGTGATACTGGAGAGTTTATTTTTAGCATGTTAAAGAATCAGGGTGAGCAGGAGAGGAGGATGCTTCATACAGAAGTAACAGGAGGTGAGGTGAAATGTGAGTGTCCGTGGTGTGTTTGATCATGTCCTGGGTAAGTGCGGG